ACCAGTGTCTCATGCCCCCGGGGATCGTACAAGATGCCGCAGAGCGGGGTCTGGAGGAGGCTTGTCCCCACCCCAAACTGGACGTATCCTGAAACGCGGACATTCATCCCGTTGGGTTTTGCTCTCATTGCCGCTGTCAGAGCTGCTGTGGCCACGGGCTTCTGCAGCACGTGCAGGTCCACGTCCACCAGCAAGCCTGAGGTTTGGAGGAGACCCTCCAAACCGTGCCGGCTGGGCTCACCATTCAGCGGTTGGATGGGTAAGCACCCAGCGCGGGCTGGCACCGCGGAGGGTTGGCTGAGAAGAAAGGTGGCCATAGGGATGTGCACAGAGGAAAACACTGAAATCGGAGAGTTTCCTGACTTTGAAACCTGAACCGCATAGCAGCCTTTGGAAGACTTTCAATTCGCTCTCTAAACTCTCAGGGCTGAATGTCGTATCGTTTGCCCAGCCATAAATAGCTGTGAATTAAACGGGCTGCGCCGCTTTTTTGGCTAATAGAAATGTCCGCTAGTGCTGCAGCGTTATCTTCATATCCCACTGGTGTTTGCATTGTAGATCAGGAGCTCAAGCTGACTTTTTTTTTTTTTTTCCTTTTTCAAGATTTAAAGAGCTGGCAGAACATTTATTCAGTTGTGCAACCTCAATTCAGAGTATTTCTCAGATCCTGGACATGGGGCTCATTTTTTGTCCTTTGACAGCCGCTGTAAATCAATAAAGCAGTTGGAGGTCACTTGTAGTCAATCAGTAACCAGTGCCGGCGAAGGGGAAAACACTAAATATTTGGTATAAAAACACAGGCTCTAAACTCGAAGTTCTCGCTCAGGGTGACATTTTTGCTGCCGTGCCTTTGGAAGCCTGGCTCCATCCAGCCTCGGGGTAGATACCCAGCCTGGCCATGATCTTTTCCTGGTAATTATCTACACGGAGAATTTCACAGCACGTGCACACTGCAGGAATTACAGCAAACCGGGGCGCAAGGTGCGTCAGGTGGAGGAAGTGGGTCTCCTGGGGCAAGGTGCTAATTTGGTGCCAGCTGAATTACTCCTTTTTGCAGGAAGACATTAGGTGTTGGCTGAAGCCGTGCACGACCTTCGTCACAGCCACCTCCCTCAGGAACCGAGACCCGTGGCCAGGCGGTAATTCTCGCAGGGGTCCCTAATTCCCTTTGAAATGACTAGGAACTAAGCTTTTAAATACCTTTGCCGTCTGAATCGTATTCCAGTGATGTCATCATCTCTGTATGCTCCTAGTTCTGGAGCTGGTTGCCCGTAAAAACTTCTGCCTGACCTCACCTCAAGCCCCTGCAAGGAGAACACACTCAATCTCCTCTTTCCTTTGACCTCAGCCGCTCTGGGCTTTGCGGTGGTGCAGGATCCTATCTCTGAGCAATCATCCAGCCATCTCTCCGTGTGTGCTAACACGGGGCCCTCGTGCCCTGCACCGCCAGCCGTATACTGCATCAGGCCCTATATGTAATCTGGATGTGCTCTAACAGTCCCTGTGCAGAAGCTGCACGCCATCGCTTTTTTGCTGCTATTTTGTCCCCCTGTTAACAGAGCTGGGCTGCACAGACGGTTTGCACAATAACCTGTGGCTCATTTTTGGATCCGTATCCTGGGTGGTTTCCATTGAGCTCTAGCCGCAGGGTTTGCGGATTCATGTGTTGCACTTTCCATCTTCGCTCCAGACTGGGAGGTGGGCACGCCGCGCTGGAGCCAGCGGCTCTGCGCTGTCCTCCTGCCTCCCCAGAAGTGTCCGTCAGATCCGTCCCTGAGCCCTGGGGAGCTCCTGCATGTCTCGGACCCAGCTAACGTGGGTCTGCTCCCTTGCTGCTTCCCGGACTGGTGTCTGTGGGAAATGCTGCTTCCCTGGTGTCCGCACGCGGAGGAGAGCTTTGACAGCGGCCGCTGGCCGAGGCCGCGTGGCTTTGGAGGTGGCATCTTTCCTCCAGCTCTTCCCCGGAGCCTCAAACAGGTGCTCATGCTCCTTCCTAGCCTGCTGCCGTGCAAGGAGAGGAATCAAGCAGGCTTTTCCCTTTCTCTCTCTCCTTTCATACATTTAATACAAACTTTAAATACTGGCATTTCCTTCCAGCTTTCTGACAACCTTGAGAGATGCACCCCAGAGAGGAGGATGGGAAACTGAGGGCATGGGAAAACAAAAGGGACTTTCTGATCAGGAGCCGCGTGCAAGTACCTATTAGCCTTGCAAAGGTTTTAACGGCATCCTTTAGTGCCTGGCTCTGTGCGTAGGCTTTCCTACGCAGGCTGGCTGACTGGTCAGACTTGAATTTTAGGCTTCTTAAGGGTTTAATAAGAGGCTGAACTAAAATACTAGCTTTGAGTGGAGAGCTAAATTCTTCAAGGTCAGAAGGTGGAGAGGCTCGGGGTTAGGGTCAGTCCCATGCCACGGGGAGGTGCAGTGCTCCCAGCATGGCCAGGGATGGTTTTTCTGCTGACGAGCAGGCGAGGGGGTGCCCGTGGCACTGCTCCTTCTGCCTCGGGGCAGACGTGGTGTTTCTGTGCAGCGGAGCACAGCCCTGCGCACCCCTGGGGGGCTCCCAATGGGGCTGGTCACGTCCAATATTTGTCTTCTCTGGGTGACCTGTCACTGTGGGGCTGCTTGCTGGCACCGAGCCGGTCCCAGCTGACGCACCTGCATGTCACCACAGCAGCTGAATGGATCAGCCTGATCCGTAGCGGAGTGGGGACCACGTCCCCGTGCGGGGCCGGTGTGGGATGGCGGCTGGATTTGACGCTTGCCCGTGCGTCCCACAGACACCGCAGAGCCGTCCCGCAGACACCGCGGGGCTCAGCCTGGCTCCGTAGGTTTGGGCAGGAGCTACATGAGCGTGGCCATACCGTGTCTGGGAGCTGGGCTGGCCTCTTCAGCATCCCCTCGCACTGCACCATGTTGGAAAACTGAACCAAAATGTCCCCCAGGATCCCCTGTACAAGCAAGGCCCCTGGGTCTCAGCACAGCAGATCACTTGCACGCTCACTTTGCTTTACGTGCAGGCTCCGTTCCCAGGGGTTGCACCGGGAGTAAAAGTTAAGACTGCATTTTAGACCCCAGGCTTAAGCACTGTAATGCGCTAGCTGGAGAAGCAATGAATCGTGCGCTTTTTGCTCTCAGCTACGTTTGCATCCCAGCTCTTCTGGAACAACCGGGTACATGTCTCCCGAGTCACTCCAACACTCCCACTCTTGCAAAATCCTTTAGCTTTTGGAAAAAAAAATAAAGCCAGTTCTTCATTAAACCTTCATCCTCCGATGCCTCTCTGGCAGAAAGTATGGCAAGAACAAGACACTTCCTACAGCTTGCTTGAAAAGTGACAGATGAACCATTGAAACAGTGGCACTTGCCACAGCCAGGCATGATCTGGCGGAGGTGCTAACTGCTTCGGAAGGCGGCGGGGCTGGCATTTCCCAGCTCCAGAAAATGGTCTTTACAAGAACATACACAAACGTTATGGACTTATAACTGGAGTTTATCTGATGTACACTTAGGAAAGGTCCAACAAAAAACCAAGCAGGTATTTTCTTGGTCAGCAAGTCTGATCCTCCTCTCCCTCCCACCCAGCTTCTTCTGAAATTATACAAATAACCGGAGATTTAGATCCACTCCTGTTGCCGGAGCATTTCGGACATAACCCAAGCCCAGACCACTGGGAGAGAGGCCCAGTTCTCCATCATGCTGTGGTCTCTGCCCATGGCTGGGCTGCGGGCACAGGGCATGGGAAGCCTTCACGGGAACCAGAGCTGGCCCCACGTTCAATGTTGTTACCTTCACTGCTAGTTTTCCTCCCTGTTACTGCAGGACACCCAACGTGCAGAGGCTTTGGGGGGTTTAGAGGCTTGCACGTCCTGTTGAAGCCCAGCATCTGCCTATTTAAACTCCTTCCCCCAGCCCTTACCGTACCCAGCCCCAAGGCATGTCTGCAAAAGCAGGTGCGTGCCCACCGCCGGACACGAGCCACCGTCCTGCCGCCCGCCCCGCAGCAAGCCCGTTAGATGGCACCACGGAGTAGCGCCTGCTGCACCTTCCTTTCTCTCGCCCAAACGTGTCTTGACACCAGTCCAGCCTCGAGCTGGCCTTTTCTGCAAGGCAGCAAGCTCCGGGCACCGCCGTAGTGACTCGCCAAACCCACCGAACAAAGAGCAATGATAAGGCTCGCCGTGGCACGCTCGCCCCTCTTCCCTGCAATGACAGTCCTTAGCGGAGGCAGGATTTTTCCAGGATTAGCCTTTTTTTTATTTAAGGATTTTTGCATGTTACATTTTTGGACACACAAATGTTAAAATGATCAATCCTATGTGTACGCACGCGCCCACACCCACAGCCCGTGCTGTCTCTCTTAGGGTATTTATTCATACGCGTATATACGGTGGCCTGGCGGAAAATGTTTTCCGTGGTTTGAAAGAATGCTCTGAAAGGGTCAAACTGAGAAATGCCTTTAAAGCGTGTCCACCCTGTGTGTCTGTCTCTGTGCATTTTGGTTTCAGCAGCTTTGTGGCTGTGTCATATAGTCTGTAGACTGTGTATTGCACTTTTCTATTTTGAATTTTGTTCTGACTCCTCTTACTTTACTCTCTCACCTATAAAACCAGGATTTCTGATGAAAATAAGCAATAAATTACTGCGTACGTTCAGGTGTAAAGGATTTTCAAAAGCAAGACAGCCGGCAGCACACCGCTGTCCTTCTGCCTTGGACTTTTTGTGATAGACAATATATTGATTAAAACAAAAATAGGGAAGTGCAATGGAATAAGGGTGTTTGCTGACCTTGTTCTGATGACAGAAAAGTCGTTTCGGGGTGAGACTGTGCCTTGAGCTTTTGCAGGGACCTGTTGTCCTGGGCATAGGATCAAGGGAGTTTTTCTCTCAAGTAAGGATTGCAAGTAGGTAGTAGTTGCCATTTAAAAACGAGGTACAATCCAAAGAAAACTGCTAGGAAAATTTCAATTGAAAGAAGCAAATTCATAAGGCATAGATTGGTTAAATGTGCACAATTGTAAATATAGACAATAATTTACAGGCTTTTCTCTTGAAATATTAGTGCTCCTATGAGGAGACAAGAGTGTGACTTACTTATAATGACTTCCCATAACATTTCCATACTGTAAATGAGACAGATTAAGTTGACATTATACATTACTTAGCTGTGTACCAATTAGCTAAACAAATGCTATGAATTCCGTCATTTATGATGGAAGCTACATAAAAATTGTATAATTACTGCAGTGAGTCATCTAGTTAAATGGCACTCCTATATGGACGAATTGATTTCAATGCAAGATTAATAGCCTTTTGCTGCTGTTTTACGTGCTTGCCAAAGACCATACTACATTGTTGCTAAGCATCATTAATGGATTAAAATAAGGGTTCTGCATAATTCCTACGGTGTATCTTCAAACAGCTTGTTTAGTTTGTGCACTAGCCTAGCGCTTGTTAGCCCTACGTAACACACGGGTCTGGAAGGCTGACACGTGTGAAGGAGGTTAATGCAATCCTAGGAACTCTTTCAAAAGCTCACAGGTTTTCTTGTGGATGACTTCGCGGAGTTTCCGCACGCGCCGGATGCTGGAGGTCCCCACAAAGCTGTCTGGCTGTAGGACAGCCATGCCGTTGTGGACATCTCCCATGATGATGAGCTGGCCATCCACTGTGGTCATGTTGGGACACGGGCAGCTCCAGTCCATGTTCAAAAGCGTGATTTCTAGTGGTTCCTTCCCCAGGAATTTTAATCCCATTTTTTCATCTTTTAGAATCTCCTCCACTGTCACCAGGGCATGTCCTGAGTCTTGGTCTTCGGTCAGCTCTGTTATACGGCCCAGGATAACAAAGTCGCTTTTGCAGAAGCTTGTCACCAGCTTTTGGCGTGGTTTGCAAGCTTTGCAGTGCGTGTTCTTCGGGAAAGGGCACATCTCTTCGCAGGCCTCCCGGCTCTCAAAGTTGTTCTCGTTGCCTCCGCACCCGCCATAAATGAAGGACTGGCACTGCTTTGTCAAGCTGTTATAGGCCCATCTGGGCTCATAGGCTTTGCAGTGACCTTGGAGGGCTGGCAGATTGCAAATGTTGATTGGGCCGTTCATGCACGTTAACATACAGTTCTCGTAGGTCTCAAAGTGGTTGAGGTTGCTGTTACAGTTCCCATAGATGAAAGTAAAGCAGTTGTTTTTCTTTGCGTCATAGTACCACCTGGTCTGCTCTTCCCCACAGTCTTCGCTGTCCGGTTGCTTCAGGCACTCATCGGTTGGAAAATGTGTTTTGTTTTGGGAAGCTTCTTTGGATGTAGGTTCTCCTTTGATGACTGACAAAGGGAAATCAGCCCTGAGAAGGCCACCGCTGTTTTTGGCGGTGCAGGTGTAGATGCCTGCGTCTTGGAGCTGGGTGTTGTAGATGACCAGTTGGGCGATGTTGGTGACCACGACGTTCCCTCTGACGTGATTTGGCTTCATAATGACTTTGTCTTTCCCATCGACCTGCTTCTCCCATGTGATTTCTGGCTTGGGTCTCCCTGTGACATCACAGAGGAAGCTGACGGTCTCTCCCACGTAGACGGACTGATGGACGGGGTTGTTCACTAGAGCAGGTGGCAAGATATCAATGACCGTTGTCTCAGAATAGGCAGTAGTAGGGCGAGCTGTTGTTTCTGGTGGGATAGGGCTGGTGTTTGGCCAGGTAAGATGGTACCTACAGGTGACTACATTCAGTGTAATGCCTTTGATGCAAGCTTCTGCATCCATGTAGCACTTGTTGTAGTAGGTGAGCCCGTCAGAGGCACAGGTGAAGCTCGGCTCCTTCTCACACCTGTCCTTGCACTTGCAGACGGGTTGCCCGTCCCAGATGTCACACTCTGAGCCTTGCTGGATGCACATGAAACGGTCGCAGGTTGCCTCTTTGGGCATTCCCACCGGCCCTTTTTTCCCCTTGACGTCCATGTACCGAGCCGCCACGCAACTCTTCGTTCCACAGACATTGGGGCAGCACTTCTCAAAGGTCTCGCACTCCTGCGGGGAAAGAAAATAACCCGATCATTACTGGGGACAAAGTGAAGTCCTTTTTAGAGACCCAGCAAGCAGGGAGCCCAGATACTTTCAAGGTGTTAGCTCAGGGGACCCGGTCTGCCACAGATGTCTGTGGTCCAAAACTCAGTGTCCCCGCTGGCAACAAGTGCAAACATCCCTCCAGCATCTCCTGAGAGGTGTCTAAACACACTGCGGTTTCTGAAGTGCTGCAGGAGAAGACTCTAGAGAAGGAAAATTTATTTCTATTTCTTAAACACTAACTTCATCATAAATCTTTCCTAGAGTCACATGGACTGCTTGACTACCAAACCAACAACCCCCCTTCCGCACTCTCCAAAATGCCTGAGGACAAGCCCTGAGAAACAAGAGCGGATGGAAGGTCTTATCATATGGCTGTAGGCAGTAATCCTTCTTATTTTCCACAGAAGTATGTAAAGTATTATTTGAATTCCCTGAGACTAACAACCTCTTGGAGGTGAAACTGCCAAGGATTTGTAGTTGTTCACATTGTAGAGGAAATAATGGAATATCTCAAAAGTAAGGAAATTCTTGCTCCAAAAATAATTTTTTCTATGGTATTTAGAAAAACAAACCCAAACCAGCTCATTATGGTTTCTCTGTCCTATTTTAGTCCTATTTTCAAATGCAGCATCGCTCTTCTGGTGATTTATTACACCCCATCTCAGCTACAGTCAGCTCTAAATTGCGGTTAATTTTAGCAGAATTTTCATCTTCTGTGCAGAGAAGGTATTTGATGTGTGTGATCACAGCCGCTGTGTTGTTATGGATTACTTTAAGGGACCACAAACGCTGCTACCATGTACACAACGGGGCACACTTCCACCGTGTGTTAAACCTCTACAACCCCCCTGAAATCCAACGGCTTTCTCCATAAGTGAGAACAAAATGTTTTTTAAGCTACCAAACTAAATAGCTTCCCCTGAGTCCAGTATCCTTTCCTTATTGGGAAAAAGATTTC